CCATATCAATGTATCACATACGTAAGCCATTTCAATGTATCACATACGTAATCCATGTCGCCATACCTATTTTGATGTACTTGGGAATGTGTTCGTCGACGACCAGGCCAGTGCACCGGTCCAATATTTTCAGGCCCATTGTGTCCTTCGCCAGCTTCTCACCTGTAACGTAAACGTAAACGAGAACGAAAGTGTGAGCATATACGTAAAAGCACACCGGTGTCTGTGTACAGAGATGTACTGCCCGTTGGCATATCATGCATGTCATATTATTCCACTCAAATTTGTAGTCGAGTGACTGACTGGTAGTTATGCGAGTGAGCGTATGGATTCACTAGGTTGTAGTACAATGGCAGTGTGTGTGTTGGTGCCTCGGGAATATATAGTCAGTTGTCTCAGACGTATCAGTCATCTCTTCATCATCACCATCGCTTATACTTGCCAGTCTCCCCTTCACCATCACGTCTACTGGTACAATGATATACTATGCAGTTATCAAGGGATCAGGCTCTCCTTCACCATCACTTCTACTGGTACAATGATATACTATGCAGTTTTCAAGGTATCAGGCTTTCCTTCACCATTACTTCTACTGGTACAATTTTATACTATGCAGTTATCATGGGATCAGGCTCTCCTTCACCATCACTTGTACTGGTACAAATATATACTATGCAGTTATCAAGGGATCAGGCTCTCCTTCACCATCACTTGTACTGGTACAATGATATTCTGTGCAGTTATCAAGGGATCAGGCTCTTCTTTTTCGATCGTGAAGAAATCAAGTGGGCTGCTTACCATCTTGCAAACCGTTCACTGGGAAAGCTAAGAATCAAATTATGCGAAAGATAAGAATAATCTAGTAGGGTTTCAGTAAGACTAATCTAGGAGGGTTATAGTAAGATTAATCGAGGAGGGATATGGTAAGATTAATCTGATACACTGTCATGATTGGTCATTAACCCAAACCCAATGGCCCACTTACAGTCGCGTATAGTAAGCACTGAGGCCCCGACTGTGCTGGTCTTATCACTTGTACCGGCCGTCTCGTAAACGTCTTCGATAAGCGTTACCAGATCCGTTGGCCTGGTGGACAGGTATGACAACAGGCTGTACGACATGGGGTGGGTGTGAAACTCCGGCGACTGCAGATACTGCAGCAGGTCGTCTTCTTCGATGGGGCCTTTGTCTGATCCGCAAAGTTTCTGAAGTGATAGGGGATGTGGGATGTGCTAGGGTTTATGGTTTGGGTTACGCGCTTTTTTGGAAGGGGAATACATACTAGTGCGATGGCGTGTATGGTGCTAATACTATGAGTGACGCAGGTTATGAGTATAAGTGCCACTCGGAAGGGACTGAACACTGTCAACAACTTACAATGACGGATAGATGTACCAGAAACTCATAAGGACTAGGACAATCATCGTATTAAACCATATATGGCAAAAAGAGGCCCTATATACCGGTACGTATGAATAAGTACACTCATAAGAACTAGGACAAGCATTGTATATAACCATCGTACATAGAACAATATGGCCTAAAGAGGCCCTATTTACCTGCACGTATGAATAAGTACGGGCAGTAACCAGTGGGACTATTGCGGTGCAAGGCATCTGCGCGGCTGTCGTTTGGTTCTCAACCAACCACGTGTACAAAGCCCTATTTCAAACCATAAACCCAAAAACCTCAACGACATGTGCATAGCTCTAACTGAAACTCTAAACTCTTAACCCTAACCATCAACCATACCGTAGACAGGACATCCAGCTGGTCAGGCGTCAGGTCACAGATGTTGGTGATGGCCTCTAGCACACTCTTAGACTCAGCGCTGCTGAGCTTTCCGTCATTATCCTCATCAAACTGCAATGCCAAATAGAATGGTGTCATGAGAGGTGTGGCAACACCCTTTACCCTAAAACCCAAAAACCCTAAAGAAGAGACAGTGTGCTCGGAACAGAACGTAGGAACCATCTAAGTTTAAAGGCTGTAAGTATTGCCGCTGTAATGTGCAGGTATGCTGTCTAATCACCTGACGAGCAGTAGCCGTGCGAACAGGTCCTCTACCACTACACTCTCAGCCATCCTCCTGTCAACCGCACACTCCTAACCGTTGTCACCAGACCAACACTACTGTACCTAGGTCAGGTACTTGTCTGCTATACGCCACACAAGCAACTACCAACCATACCACTCACCTCATCACCACACAAGCAACCATCAACCATACCACTCACCTCATCACCACACAAGCAACCACCATCCATACCACTCACCTCATCACCACACAAGCAACCACCAACCATACTACTCACCTCATCCAGCATGCGTCGGTAGAACCAGTGCTCGACCTCGTCTTTGGCACAGAACTTCACTCTGACGGCCAATGAACCCACTAGCGCACCACGCTTGCCGTGGCTGCGCAGGTCAACGGCCTTGTCCATAAAGTCGTCCGTGAAGGAGGGGTCGGGTGTTGTGAAGGTCATTTGGTCCTGGGTGCCACTGATGCTTTCTGTATCGGTTGTAACATGGTAATTGAGAAGATTGCGAGGGGTTGGGGTGTGGTTACAGATCGAGCTAATAGGTTTATTAAACCTTTAAACCCTAGAACAGTGAGTAGGTATATAGGGTTTAGGGGTTTGCACAGAAAGCTAGGCTATTAGCCGTAGCAGCGCAGCCAATCACCCTCTTAGGGATTTTATCACGAGTTAGACTTTCAAAAGTCTTCACCAAACAGCACATAGAGCCGCTCCAAAGCCGCTCCAAAGCAACACCCATGACTCACCTCGTCCGAGAGGCAGGGTGGCCACAGTCAGTGGTTTGCTCTTACGTATGCGCAGGCCTTTATGCTTGTGGCGTGCTTTGTCTTTGTCTTCGCTCAGTCCCTCTGTACTGGCTGATCCCCAGTCGCAGCTGTAGTCTGTTGCCTCATCCGAGTCACTGATTGTACTACGTGTAGAAAAGGGTTTAGGGTTTTAGGGTTTACAAAGCGTGTGTCTGTGCCAGTGCAATAGTCTACCCCTCACTGGTTCTCCGACACTACCAGATACCCATACCCAAACTGTATATACACTATATACATACTATATATATATACTATATACTATATACTATATACATACTATACATACATATCTATATATATATATATATATAGGTGCATCTAGAAAATATTTGCGATTAGATATTGCAGTCTTATAGCATCGTCGCAGCAGTGCGTTTGTTGTAGCAGTGTAGCAGTGTCTCATGATACTCACAGGTACTCGTCTGCGCTGCCCTCGTCCTCCAGATGCTCCATTGACGAGTTCAGGAAATCCGTATCCATCTCCATCATCTCCATGCTAGTGCCCTTCTTAGCACCAGGCTTCTCTGTCTATAGTGTTGTATGCATTGTATTGATTCGACTGCCAGAAGTATACCACTAAGCACATGGTTGGGTTTCAGGGTTTAAAACCTTTTCGTTCTAATTTAAAACCATCACGTAGCACTGCACCGATTGACCTGCCGCACTGGGCACTTGTCATCGTGCGTTAAAATCTCAAGAACATGCCACAGAACCTGTACTACTCAAACCAACAGTACTAACCCTAAAACCCTACTACTTAAAGGCCCTAAAAACCCTAAAACCCAACAGTACCACCGGGAATATAACACCGAATTCGGTTTAGATCGCATACAATAACTTCTTCGGTTTAGATCACATACAATAACTTCGTATCTGAGTCGAATGCTTAAGTCGAATCTCACGAACATATTTCTTTAGGGTTTAGGGTTTAGGTAACATCATTGCGGTAGGGATACGAGACAGGCTACGCAAAGGTAGGTCAAGGCAATTGGTCCTAAAATAAACATATTATTATATTAATAATATTACCTACGAAACAACATTATTAATAATATTACCTACACAACAACACTATTAAAAATATTACTTACAAAACAACATTTGCATTTACTAGTAAGCTGTCATGCGCATGAGTACACGAACAGACTAGAGCAAAATCGGAAACGCCCTAAAACTACCGGGACTCCGTATAAATGAACAGGGTAAAGTAATACAGAAGAATGCCAACGACAAGTATTGCAGACCATGTACACACATATACAAAAATCAAACAGCACTGCATCGCAAACGGTAGTTACCTCGCCTACGTTCATGAGGTCGTCCACTGAGTTGAAGTTCAAAGTGTCAAAACTCGCAGAGTCTTTGACATTCAGTTCATCTGATGAAGAGAGAAGTTACATAATCAGATAGCCTACAGCTTAGTGGGATATCATCTGCCCCACAACTCGAGACAAGTACAATCATATCCACAAGCGAGTGCAATATATCCGCATGGCACGCCGGGTTAAGCGTGCTATGAGAACTGCACGCTGAATTTAGCGTGTCATGAGAACAACAGAACAGAGCGTGCAATCAGATTACGTGCGATCTGTGCGATCGATTTTTTTCTGGCGCTACTCAACGCGCGGGATTTTGAAATATAAAGTTGAAGGCCGCAATACTGCTTTGTTACGTGAGTTATACATTTATAACATTAAAATAGAGTTTAAGGGTTTTTAAACCCCTTAAACCCCAAAACTCCATATATTTATACACTTTACACTACACTAAAATCAAAACCATAAACCTAACATCTATAGAAGTCCTATATATACATCCTTAGACGCACTCGATTAATCTGCACCAATGCAACAGGGACGTACCTTCTGAATGCAACGTATCAATGTCATCGTGGCTACGCGCTGTCTTCATCCGAGGTGTTGATGACCCTATGCTATACTTCCTGTACATGTCAATAGACTGAATAACATCAGAAAGCTATAGCACCCTATACTATACTTCCTGTATATGTCAATAGACTGAATAACATTTAAAGCTATAACACCCTATACTATAGTTCCTGTATGTTTAGAGATTAATGCGAAATTAATAATAATAATAAATGAGAAATATATGTGAAATTAATGTGCAATTGATGTGAAGATTAAATGGAAGGACCCGGTCGTAAGCGTAGAGTAGGACGGTAGACACAACGTAGGTGTACATAGCAACCCTGTCACATACACCTCAATCCTTAGAACATATCCCAAACACCCACGCCCAATAGTCCGAATAATCCGTGCGCCTATCCATCACATCGCATTGACATACCGTGTGGAGTTGTGGAGAGATGTCAGGTCGTCAAAGCTCTGCTTGAGCATCGCCGTGTGGTCGCGGTCTCTCATGACATCGTATTCCTCTCGCAGATCCACCACAAAGTCATACTCTCCGCCTCTGTCGCAGATGTCACTCATGGAGATGTAGCCACGCCCCACAAGAGCACTCCTGCAGAGGTCAGGCAATGCGTTAGCGTGCGGAGGAAGCAGAGGACCACATACGTGACTTCGGATACAGGCGTACCAGTACACGCATACAGATAACTACGATTCTGAGTATAGGGTGATAGAGTGCTGGTTATATACCCTCAGACAAATGAATACTGATAACTATGATTCTGAGTATAGGGTGATAGAGTGCTGGTGTCACACATACATACTTTCTGCCGACCATGTTATAGACACTCAGCCGAATGATGTAGTTCTCCTCGCCGTCCTTGACCCAGAATCGACATTCCTGCATTTGCATTTGGGATAGTTGTAGGGGTTTAGGGTTTTGGGGGTTTATAATAACCCATTTCAGCGTTGCATTTGAGGTAGTTTTAGGGTTTTAGGGTGTTAAACCATTCTTGCATTTGAATTTGGATTTGGATTTGAATTAGTCAGTCGGTGGAATGGTAGGCTGTGAGTGTTCCCCAGGTTAACTTAATTGTATGTCTTCATAGTATGATTGTAGGGTTGTAGGGTTTTAGGGTTTTGCGTATGCCATTCTTTGGGTCATTGAGCTATGAAAGCACACAAGCCATGCGCAAGTACACCACACTCAACAAGCGCAGAACAAGACAGTGGTACAGAAAAGATGAGTATTGAAAGTGATGTAATTGAAAGTGATGTACTTGTCAACGGGTTGATAGGGGGGGTCGTGTACACTGCATGTGGCTACTATGGCAACTAAACTGGACTTTGTTGCTATGGCAACTTGTGACTTAGTTGTACCCTCCACCACTAAAATTTCATCAGAAGCTATACCCACAGTTTGCAGACAGTTCTAATTACACTCAAAGTCCATCCAAGAGGTCCTCGCATTCTCCTACTACACAAGTCTCTGTACATGGCTGTATTAAATATGACTAACGACTAATGTAATCTGAGAAACACATTGAGTTTAAATTGAAATATAGATATACATATTTTATAACATAGTAGTTAAAGATATAGATGTTAATATATAAATATAAGATATAAATATAGATATAAGTTTTTCGCTAATTACTTTTTAGCGCACGTATACCTGGGAACAAGCAACATGCTACCCATCTTAAACTACACATGATACCTACCCAATTACTACCTACCTTATTACTAGACATGCTACCTACCTTGTTGAAAGCGGGACTGCGACCCTTGTGACTCTTGGTGCGGTATGCAGTGAGTCCGTACTCAATCACCACCCGCGGCTGCACTGTCTTGCCTACAAAACACCATTACGATTCGAATGAATTAATGGGCTTACTGCTAACTGTTGTTGTCCACCCAATGACTGTGACAGTACATAGCTGTGTTGCCGTATTACGAACAAATGTGAGCGCAAAAGGATATACAGTTCGACTAAGCGTCTTTGCTTTCAACCGTACTGTACCAGGTTTTAGAATTAGGCTAAACCTTAACCCTAAACTCTAACCCTAAAACAGTTTTGTGGATTAGACCTACTGCCTATACGTACCACAGTATGCATTGAGAGAAACGGGTACAGGTGAAGCTACTCTACGGGTTGAGGGTTTTAGGGTTTAGAGTTTAGGGTTTGGTTCCTTTGTTGGTGCCTAGTGTGGCTTGGGTTGTAGGGTTTGGTACCTTTGTTGATGCCTAGTGTGGCTTGGGGTGTAGGGTTTTAGAGTTTAAGGTACAGGGTTTAGTACCTTTGTTGATGCCTAGTGTGGTTTAGGTTTTAGGGTTTAGGTTTAGGGTTTAGTACCTTTGTTGATGCCTAGTGTGGCTTAGGTTTTAGGGTTTAGGGTTTAGCGTTTAGGGTTTAGTACCTTTGTTGATGCCTAGTGTGGCCCATTTCATCCACTGTGCGCCTGTGGGTTTGATGTCCTTTGCTCTGACCAATCGTATTGTGCACAGCCCTACCGCTTGCGCGTACATCATCATGTTGCGGCTTTGGGGCGACAGAGTGCTCGAGCGACACACCACTTGTACTTGTAGCTGAAGAGGCGCACACACAAGCAGTAGGGATTATGGTTTAGGGTTTTAGGGTTTAGAATAACCCATAATCATACAGTAGGGCTAGTTTGCATTCGGTCAGTGATTCAGGTGCCAGTATGGCAGCCACGCAGGGTACAAAGAGTGAGGGGTCCTTTTAGTCAATAAAGGTGAACTGTTGGGCGTAACTTGTGTACACCTTATAGTATCAGTCTGAGTGCGTAATTCAATTAT